AACAATATACCCAGTATATTCCCAACAAGCTGGGGTCTGGAGAGTCAGTTGTACGCAGACCTTACCCTTGTAATTATACAAGGAGGCTGTTTCCGTAGCGACCCAAGGTGCATTGCGCCGTTTGATATATATTTTTTTTCTAGAAACTTCACTAATAGAAAAAGCACTAGAATTTAATTGAGCCATTTTGATTTAGTCCATTATTAGCACTATACCAGGAGAATTGTCAACAATGACTCTTCCAACTCCATTTACAATGGACAAATTCCAACGAAAATATTCCGTTGGAATTAATTTTCCATTGGAATTTTAGATGGAATTTGATGATTCCAACGGCTATTTTTCCAACGGTTTTTTACCGTAGAAATTTCCGTTGGAATATGCAAATTCCGTTGGAATTTTTATTTCCACCTCCATTGGAAAATCTACTGTTGGAATCTTCAAAATCTAACAAAAATTCTAATGAAAAACTCATTCTAATGGAAACTTTTTGTTGGAATTTTTGTTGAAATTCCATTAAAATATATTTGTATTGAAACTTTCTGTTGGAATTTGATCATTTTGTTGTAGTGGAACTTGTAATACTATATATCAGTTGCTAGATCGGTATAATAACTCGATATTTACATTGATTACAAATTCCTTCAAATATACTCTTCGAATTTTTTCGAAGCTACATAGGATGATAGGTGAAATAGAATATATTTTTCAATTCATTTATTTATTCACCACTTAAAAAAACATAATATTCATCAATTTTAATTTTTTTTTGTTTCTCCATTTACATTTTTTAATATTAGTTTTAAATTTAATTACTGTATTTTTTTGATAAAATTTATTATTCATCCACCCATTACTACTACTATTCATTATTTAGTAATTCTCTATCTCATTATTACTAATTATTATTTTTTATATCACACCACTTTACATTAAATATTCATTATTTTTTTCACTAACTCTGTATTACCAACAAATAAAAATTCACTCAAATTATAGATTTTTATTTTTATTTTTGTTTAAATGGATGTAATTTGGTGAGCCCCATGGTAGTTTTTTTAAATGGAGAAAAAATTGAAGTTTTTTTAATATTTGATGTGATGTAACATTGTAGGGTAGATAAAAAAGATCAAATTAGACTTTTCTTTTCCTTTTTCTTCTTCTTTTTTTTTTCTCTATTTTTTTTTTTCCTTTTTAAATTTACTGAGAGGATATAATGGAGCGGGTCAGCTGGGTTGGGAACATCATCCCTACCAAGCCAAGGATGTCAGTTGTATTTACCATGGCATCCATTTAATATTCAAATATTATATTGCATAATTTAAAAAATAATAGCAATTTTTGGGTATAAATTAACATGAGTTTATACTTAATATATAGATCTTTGCTTCCTTTCACTTTTATTTATTTTTTTCTTTTTAATCTAAAAGGGACAACAATGAAATTGGGATATTCTTTTATTCCCCTAAATTGTAGATGTGTTGTTTTTGTACTTTGTTGACATCCGAATTCGCCCTCGAAAGAAACCGGACAAGGCAGCTTTAAGAGCCGAATCGGAGACGCGATCGAGCGAAAAGGTGCCGAACTGAACTTCAAAATCGATTGACCCTGACACCCCCGTGGGTCCGTCCGTTAGCCCGGCGTTTGTGACATCTAAGTACCGGTGCCGGCCTGATGAGTGACGGGCTGGAGGAAGATTCCCGGAGCCGGAAGGGCGGAACGGGACCAGGAGCCGACCTAAAGTCTCAGAGCAGACCCCCAGTGACGGACGCTGGGCCCGATAATAATAATATAATGCCACTTGGAGAGCAATCATTGGTGATTGGGTATGACGTCCTAGCCTGCAGACCTACACCCACTAGCTAAGACATAAAGCATGCCAGCATTAAATGACCCCCATGTGTGCATTAAATGCCTGTCAGGCAATGATGAGGAAAACCTCAAATCGCGTTGAATTCTGTCAGGGAGGCGCCGGACTGTCCTGCAAGGACACTGTACGACAAGACCGGTGAATTGTACCTGAACAGTACCACATTAAAGAGCACTATAAATAACAACCCTCTCATTTATTTCTGGGTTGTTGAAAATCCCAACTGTCTCTACTCTCTACATTTTCTCTCTCTAAACTTGTAAGGAATTTGTTGTGTAAGAATTTGTAAGTCTATCGCAAGTGCCGATCTCGTACGAGAGGCCGACCTCGTGATCAGTTAATAAAATCGTAATTAAACCACATTCCTTCGTCTTTTCTCGTTACTTTTTCACAATTTATCTTTTTTAACCGTTGACCGGAAACGCCCGTCAACATACTTATTTTTGAAAAAAAAAAGTTGCAATATAAATAATTTGATGAATTAATAATATTAAAATGAAACGATTGTCATGTGTTTTTTCATAACTCAATATGTAAAGTCTTATTGGTCATGCTTTCAATGTTACATCTTTTCATATAAGATCTCTCTAACAAAGAAAAGATATATAACTAATCATGTAATTGATATTAGGCATATATACCTTTCTAAAATCGAATGATTTGAGAATAATTTTGATTGAAAATCCCCCTTCCCCCTTATATATATTAATTCAGAACATGTTGTGCCTATGTGACAGACTTCCATGCTTCGTGATCCTATGTGGCACAGATTTTAATTTACTTCCAACCCAAAAATAATTAAGTTTGGATTATTCATAAATATGTTCATTATTTATGATCATGTTATATGTATTAATTGCATCTTAATATCATTTCTTATTATAACCATTGAATTGAAAATATATTTTAAAAGTTGATAACTTTTGTATTTTTTATCCGTTTTACATATATAATATATCAAATTAATAATCTCTTGATGAACTTCGATTTAACATCCATATTGTATGTAAAAAAAATAAATTATATTTATATATCTTTATAACAATAAAAAAATTATTTTTTAATATTAATTATAAAAATAAAATTATTTATCAATTAATATATTTATATTTCAAGTAGTTATATGATATAAGTCATAAAAATTACTATAATATAACACATGTAAGTCGCACAAGTAACAAGTGTCATCATAAAATATATAATAATATATAACTTTTGTAAAAAATAAAAAAAATTTAAAATAATTTTTTCATTAATTTTAAAATTTAAGAATAATTTTTTAATAAGCACCCGTGTAATACACGGATATTGTACTAGTAAGAGTTTTAATAAAAAAAATTATCAGGATACGTGGAGGTCGGCGAGGAAACGGTCGACAAAGTGGTTTGTGAAAGGAGAAGCCGGCACATGAAGGGCAGAACGCATCAACAATCAAAATATATATAAAATAAAATATTAAATGAAATAAAAAGTCTTAATTGATTTCCACTCTATATATGTGTATTTAAATTTTAAAATGCATGTACGTATTTCATGGTGGAAGTTAATGCATGCTCTATTTTACTTGATCATCATCAGGAAACTATTTTCCCCAAAATTTGGAATATATGAATTTCTTTCAGTCACCAACTATATACACAAGATTATAATTTATATGCCATCATCAATCACAATTTGTTAATATTAGATTAGGTAGTAGAATGATAACTAACCAATAAGTCAATTTTAGCAAATATAATTAGGTTACTACAAAAAATATCATATTCCAATAGAAAATTTAAACGGTAAAATATTACAATAAAAATTCCGAAAGTATCATATTCCAATAAAAAATTCAAACGTTAAAATATTACAATAAAAATTTCAACGAATATTCCAATAGTATAACGTCTATTGAAAATTCTAACTGAAATCAACACTAAAATATTCCGTTGGGATTAAACTTCCCTTTTGAAATCATCAAATTCCAATAGAAAATTAATTCTAAGAGTTATATTCTATTTATTCTTTTTTTTTTTATTATTATTATTTTGGTTATTATCATCTCCAAAGTCCAAACCTCATACTTTCCACATGCAATACTAAACAAAGTTTGCTTCATAATTAGCTTATCTTAAAATAATTATCGTCTTTGTTTCTATTCTACTCTCCTTCACAACTTGATGTACTAGATATGTGGTCATTACCACATACAAGAAGCAATGCAAAAGCTCAAGCTACCTAGATTTATATATACATAGGTAGATCCTACTACACATATTGCATATGAACACACAAAATGAAGACAAAAGAGAAAGAAGAAAAATTCAGAAAATGAGATTTTTGAGTGGGGTTACATCTATAGAAGCCATTGATGTGAACTCAACAAGATATTTCCAAAGGGCATGAAAGCATTATGATCAATATCAAAGAAAGAATAGAAAACCNAAAAAAAAAAAAAAAAAGAAAAACTCTCTCTCTATATATGAAAGGTACAACTTGCCCGGTCGAAAAAAACCGGTGCGAATTCTCGTGTGTGGTCCTCTTGTGAGCTACTAAGGAGGCTTAAAGAACCTACATTGGTCCCTCTTCTACACACTCACACACTATAGTAGATCAATTATATCATCAAACCCCCTTGAATTCTGATTAATTCAGATCATAACTTGTTCATTACAAATGCCCTTTTCAGTTCTTGATCATTCTTCTTTCATTGTACTTATCTTTTTTTTAGCTACAACAATTTAATCACATATATACGTAGCTTCCAAAGAAAATACATTACTACCCATAAGGGAACCTCTCTCTCTCTCTCTCTCTCTCTTCTGAGCTAGCTAGGGTTCATTTTCCATGGTGATGAGAGGCTATTTTTAATTTGCAATAAAGGAGGTACCTTTCATCTTATTAGTGTTTTATTATGTATTTAGTGAGACTTGGTCCCATGAAAAAAATAAAAAATAAAATATTGAAGTGAAAAATCATTAAAAGAGATAACGAAAGAGTCAAAAATGAGATGTAAACATAAACACATGACTAGTTGTGAAGGCTCATTGAATATTTGCCAACTATGGTTCAACAAACAATTCCATTTATCTCCATGAGAGAGCAATCTTAATTCTCCTTGCTAGCTCAAACTTTTCTCTGTGTCCCATTATAGATATATATCGCCCCATGTGGTCGCAAGCTCACCACGATCATCTTCTCTTTCGGACAAATTAATCTGATCTGAACTATATATACACTACACAGAAGTATCTCTTGTCGATCCATCGACAGACCGTGAAAAATCGAACGAAGTAAGCATCTTTTCGATTAGTTATTAATTCTTTTCTTTCTTTACTCCAAAAATCATATGGCATTTGGTGAATTGATTTAACCTAGTTTTTGTGCCTTATATGTTATGGTCCAATACATATATATACAGACTTTGTTATATATATACCTTATTCATACAAACTACTTTGGTGGTCCTCATCTTTTTTTTTCCTATGTATCTCTCAACTTTATTTCTTTCCAAAGATAAAAGAAGAAGAGGAAAGAACAACAATCACACACACAGACACACAAACAACACAAACACATGCACTTAATATAAATTTTTTTCCTATGTCTCTCAACTCTCTTTCTTTCCAAAAAACACAAGAAAAAGAAGACTTTTATAGGAAAGAACACACAAAAACATATTTCCTTTCCTTCTCTTTTCAGGCCAAATGATCATCATCAACCCATCCTCCACAAGATCATCATCAAGAACACGAAAATAACCCGAGTAATCGCAAAAACAAAAGAAAAAAATGTCGGAACCGAACAAGAAACACCAATTCGTCGACAACAACAAATTCCCCTCCTCCTCCTCCTCCACCTCCACCTACTCGTCTCCTTCTTCTTCGACTCTGCAGTCGAGCCTCCGAAACCCTCGGATCGTGCGGGCCCCGCGCGACTCCGGCGGCAAGGACCGCCACAGCAAGGTCTCCACCCTCCGCGGCCTCCGCGACCGCCGCATCCGCCTCTCCGTCCCCACCGCCATTCAGCTCTACGACCTCCAAGATCGTCTCGGCCTCCCGCAACCCAGCAAAGTCGTCGATTGGCTACTCGACGCCGCCAAGGAAGACGTCGACAGACTCCCCCCACTCCCCGCCATCCCCGGCCTCCTCCCCCCTCCGGCGCCGGCGCCGCCTCCGGCAGCCTCTTTCGCCGGAGGGTTTCAAAATTTCTTCCCGGCGGGCGGTGGGCAGTGCTTCGCGCTGCCCTACGATGGGCCGGGCAGCGGCGGAGGGAGTTATTATGGCAGCGGGTGGGACCCGGCGGCCGGACTTTCGTTGGCCGGATTTGGGGAGGAGAAAATGCCGGGTTTTGGAGCGGGTTCAGGTTCGGGTCGACAGTTGTATTTGTGCCCGACGCCGGGGAATGGGATGCCGGCGACGGGGACGGTTTTCGCGCCGTTTGCGCCGGAAAACGAGCAGTCGAGGCAGATCAACTTCATGCAGAATTGAACTTTTACTAGTTCTTTCTCTCTCTATATATATACAGTAAGATTCATATGTGATCCATTTTTTTCTTTTTTTTTTTAATTTATGTTATAATTATTAATTCCTTGTGGTAGATGAATTGTGCTATTTTCAACATGCATATTACATATGTAGACTGGATTTGAATTTGTGGGGATTATAATACTGTTAACAATGTACATTAGCTTCAGATTATTTACTGAATGTTAAAATGTGTGATATTTTTAGCTATTTGGTTTGTTCACTGCAAGAAAACAAGACATTTTTAAAACTTAAATAATTCCGCTCTTTTGCAAATACCAAGTAATTCCGCATTTAAATTAGTGACGATTTATCTGTGGTGCTAGCAAGGTTTATGAATAGGGAACTTTCAATTCGTGACTTTTTTTTTCTATTTATTTTAATGCGTCAATTTTTGCGTCTGTAAACAAATCTTACGTGCTGTGTTTTGGGTCATTAGTAAATCTTTTTAGCAATGTTTGCTTTGAAAATATGCATGGTTTTTTTGGTACTAGTTTTATGAAAGAATTTTACCTGTACAATTATCGATCACTAGGTTCGGAAATATTGCAATTTGCACCCAATAATTTGGGGCACATGATATAATTTCCCCAATAACTTTCCGAAAAATTGGGGCACATATATATATTTGCCTAATAATAACTTTCAGAAAATGTATGATAGCTAATTAAATAATTAACAATTGTCTAAGTTAGCAGACCTTTTGCAACTAGTTATTTTTTTACATTTTTCTCAGTGAGCATTTTCTGCAATTTCCAAAACTAGTAGAAAAATTATCATTTATCCAAGTTACCTAAAGATTATTGTATTTTATTTATTTATTTTGGCAAAGTAGGAGTATATCAAATTTGATATATGTTAAATCGAACGAACCTTTTTCAAGAAAAAAAGGACTTACTTAGTGTTTAAAACGGTTTTGCTATGGAGTCATCGGATGGCTCGACTTATGGAGTCATCCACACTTATTCACCAATAGTGTATTGATACATGTTCTGCAATAAATACAATTTGGACAGGTGTCATCCACACTTATTCTCTACTAATTAAGGACTTGAGTTACAATTTTCCAAGGATTTCTGACTCTGAATTGGTTCATAACTGAGCACTTATTTAAGTTTATCAGTAGAATGTAACCTAAACTTGGCAAAGATTCATAATTTGTAACTTCTCATACATTTTAACTATACAATCATTCAAAAGGAA